TTTTCTTTCTTTCTTAAATTTTTTTATTGGTTTCAGAGAGGAAGGGAGAGGGAGAGAAACACACTAGATTCATAATCATGTCAATTGTCAATCCACTTTCTACTATCTGTTGAGTCATTATTGAGTGGTCAAAATATAATACCAACAGAGGAATACTGTCCTATTTTAAACTCTTGAGAAGGCAACTCAACCATCATTCTTGGCAACTCATTCCAGGCTGGGACCATCCTATCAAAAATGTCTTTCTTCTGTATAATTGAAATCCATCACATGGACCCTCAAGCTAAATTAGTTTCATTCCATCCTATATAATAAAAGAGTAATATGTAAATTAACCATCACTCCATTACACACACAAGCCACGCCCACAAGCCAATCAGGAGCGAGTAAGAAAATTAACCCAACCAAGATGGCTTCAGCCACAGAGAGAGCAGGAGAGAGGCTTGGGTTTCCCCAGTGATGGAGGAAGCCAAGCTTCTACAGCCCTGGCCTGCCCAGGCCTTCACTCCAGGCTACAAAGTTTTAATTATAGAAGATACATAAATCCCAAAAGAAATGGCTGCCACCATGGACTGAGCAGAAGGCTTGGCTCTGCTCTAGGCTACAAAGTTTCAATTGTAGAAGATAAATAAATTCCAGATACCAGGGCCTCCACTTTGGTTGCTGGGGAGTGTGGCCAGCCTGCAAACCACCACAGGCCCCTCGCCCAGGCTGCCCCACACCCCAAGGGAACCCTGATCCAGGACACCCTTCAGGGCAAACCAGCTGGCACCCACCCATACTGCCTGCCCTGCCTCCCATCCTCAGGCCTCTATCCTACCTAATAAAAGAGTAATATTCAAATTGACCATCACTCAAACACACAAGATGGCTGCCCCCATGTGGTCAAAGATCCTGCCCCCATGTGGGCACAAGATGGCCACCACAAGATGGCCAGCAGGGGGAGGGCAGTTGGGAGCGACCAGGCCTGCAAGGGAGAGCAGTTTTGGGCAATCAGGCCAGCAGGGGAGGGCAGTTGGGATGGACCAAGCCTGCAAGGGAGGGCAGTTGGGGGCAATCAAGCCTGCAGGGTAGGGCAGTTAGGGGTGATCAGGCCGGGAGAGGAGGGAAGTTGGGGGTGACCGGGCCTGCAGGGAAGGTCAATTGGGGGAACCCAGGCCTGCAGGGGAGGGCAGTTAGGGGTGACCAGGTCCACAGGGGAGGGCAGTTAGGAGTGACAAGGCCTGCATGAGAGGGCATTTAGGGACAAACAGGCTGACAGGGGAGTGGTTAGGGGGCAATCAGGCTGGCAGGCAGAAGCAGTTAGGGGAAATCAGGAAGGCAGGCAGGCAAGCAGTTGGGAGCCAGCAGTCCTGGATTGTGAGATGGATGCCCCTCAAGGGGTCCCAGATTGGAGAGGGTGCAAGCTGGTGCTGAAGGACACCCCCCCCACATGAATTTTGTGCACTGGGCCTCTAGTTTTCAAATTTGGAACACAGTTACCATCTGGGCTATAGGGTTATATAATGTGACAGGTTGTGTGAGCCATAAATGAAATAATGCGTGTAAAACAGAGCTCAGTCTCTGGCACATTATTATGGCCCAATACGTATTTACTATTACCATCATTATATACTAGAACTCTTTCAGCACAAGTGACACAAACACACGCAAATTAATTTAAGCCAAAAAAAGGGGGAATGAATAGAGAATGTAATTTATAAGGAAGTATAACCTGCAGAGGCCTCTAGACACTAGTGGATCCAGGCCTCAAATAATCTTTGCAGGGCTCCTCTTTCCTTCTCTCCCCCATCTCTCACACACGCTTTTGACGTGCAGAGAGCAGGATGGCCACCAGCAGACTCAGGTGGGGGAAAGCTTTAAACAAGTTCCCCATCTATGAGTTCTTTCATTAAAAAATTTGAATGCCAAGCAGGAGACAAGCAGGATTCTAGGAGCTAAGAAAAGAGCAGTGACTAAGACAAAATTTTCGCTTTTGTGGACTTTACCTTGTAGTTGAAAGAGTGGACCCAGAAGACAGAGGGATGCTAGAAAGATAGAAAGGCATCTTCCACTAAGTAAGGCCAAACCTTATGCCATTATTAAGGACAACGCTTAGCTTTCTTTTTTCCACCTAAGTGAACCCACCCCTTCCAGAGCTCATTTCCCCTTGACAAATGTGCAGAACCCCCCAAATCAGGTATTCAAATAGAGAAATAAACTTGTCTGTAGATTTTCAATGCATTTAGTTTATTTATACTGTGTATCTTTGTGTACTGTTTCTGTGATGTGCCTGCAGCTATAACAACATAACCTTCTGTTTCCATTTTGAAAGTTAATTCTTTTTAGATGACTTTTGTGTTAAATACAGGTCTTTCTTCCACCTTCATGGTTTCCTTTGAATAGGATGATAGTTACTTAGTAAAACACTGTAAAAAACCTGGTTTATTTGCTAGTCATTTAAAGAAGGATTCCTCTGAGTACTTTTAATTCTACTTCTCTGTCCTAACCATTCTCACTGTAAAAATGAAGGCTTAGAGATCAAATTTTCTGAGAATCCCAGGAAGTGTTGCCTGACTTTCCAAAAAAATCTCAACCTCTGCCTTTCCCCTGGGAGCTTCCAGTGAGGAACGCTTTCTTGAAACACTTCAGGCTGTGATCTTTTTAAGGCAAATTTCAACTTTTCAAGAAACTGAAACCCATCGGAATCAAGCTGCCCTCACTTGAAACATCTTGATTTACTAGTGCTACTTCAGATTCATTACACAAACAGGCTCAGTCCACAATGCACACAATTCTCTTTAAGATATGGCACTGGAGCTCTGTGCTACCGGGTGACTCTATTCATGGACAACATAGGGACTAACTCTCAATAAACCGAGGCTGCTCAAATGTGTAGGGAGGAGAGGGAGAGCTGGTTGTCCTTGCCATCATTTTTTTTTTAAGTACTATTACAAGTTGTATGCCCTGCCCCCAATTGTTTTCTCCATTGCACCTCTTTTCAGTCTTCCGCTTTGGTATTTCTTGTCTGGACAGTAATTTATTTATTTTTACTCGGAATAAAACAGACAAACGGGGCCATTTGGCTTCTTAGTCTAATCCCAATGTTAAAACTGATCTTGGAATTAAACAAAAATAATTTTTCATGTAAAAGCTTATCAGCCCCACGCCCTCCATCTCCTATTTGTCCACATCACCTGATTTGTCTGTCTGTCTACCCGGGCGTGCAAGCCTGAGCGGGCACCCCAGACCTAGTGTCCCCTCTCTCCGGAAGGGATGGAGAATCTCCGAGCCACCACTCCTGGTCCGGTCCTCGGCCGGAGGAGCCGGATATCTTTTAAAGCTTAATACCCTTATCGGTGCATTCCAGCCGGAAGGTCGGCTCCCAGCCTTTCCCCCTGCGCTCCTCCTCCGCGAACCGGGCGCCACCCTTGATGCCACTTCCCGAGTTGGGAGAGGGACCGAACTTTCCCAGGGAGCTCGTAGCGTTCCCGCCGAGCCTGCCCAGCTCCAAAGGGAACCGGCCCGGCTTCCCTCCCCGCCAGCTCCCCAAAACGTGGGCGGAGAGGAAGGCTGCTGCAAGTGTTTATTTTGCAAACCCTTTAAAGCCAGCCGCATCCAGCGCCCTGGGAGCCCGCTCGACCCTTCCCCAAGGAAAGACCCAGGAGGTCAGGGAGCTCAGGGGACCAGAGCGGCTGCGGCTACGTGGGGTCTTCCAGGGTGCGACCTTTCCCTCTCGGACTGGGGGCGTCCCTCTAAACCCCCAACACCCTCCGGTCCTGGAGTGGACAAACGGACGCAATTGGCGGGAGCGGGTGAGCGCGTCCTCACCGGGGGGACCCCAGCCCCGGGCCAGGTGCGGCCCCCGCCCCGCCTCCCCCTCCCGCGCGCCCGCGGGCTCCCGGCGCCGGGCAGAGCCGGAGGGGGAAGGCGGGCGGCGGAGGGGCCGCTCTCATTGGCTGCGCGGCCGCCCCTTCCCGCGCCGCGTGCCCCGCGCCCCGCGCCCCGCCGGCTCCCGCCCTCCGCCCGCCCGCCGCTCCCGCAGGAGGAGAGGGGGGCGCGCAGGGGCGGGACGCGTCTCCCGGCCGCGCACCCGGCCCCCAGCGCGCGGGCACACAGCCCGGGCGGCGGCGCGCGGGAGCCCGGGGTCCGGCCGCCTGCGGAGCGCGGAGAGGCGGGGCCGGGGCCCTCCGGCTGCCCGCGCCCCCGGGACCCGGCTCAGAGCTCCGGGCGTCGGGCTGCGGGCGCGCGGGCACCAGACGGCGGGAGCGCCGAGCCGGCTCCTCCGGCCGCGCCATGGGGAGAGCCCGGGAGAACTCACCGCGGCCGGCGGGGCCGGTGCCTGCGCCCGGGGTGGCTGCTGCCGCCGCCGCGGCGCCTTGAAACTCCCCAAGTTGAGAGCCAGCGAGAGGCTGCCTCCCGCCGGGAGCCGGAGGGAAAGGAATTCGGAAGATGAGAGAGTGAGTGACGGATAGACGGACGGAGGAGCGGACGCACAGACCTTCAGGAGACACCGCGGCGCGCAGCCCGTCCCGAGCGCGCGAGGCTCCCCGGCGCTGTGAGTGGTGTGTGTCCTGGCCGGGCGGCTCGCTGAGTATTTCCGTTTAATTGTTTATCGCTTGCGTCTGTGTATGTTTGAGTCCATCGGAGGGAGTTTTGAAACAAAAATACAGGATGCACCTTAAAACAACATTGAATGTCTGGTGCGGAGACGGTTGTGTGTCGGTAGATGGTGGCTGTAGATGTCTGTAAACAAGAGCAACCGGGGGAAGAGAAAAATTGCGTTTGACAGTAAAAAAAAAAAAAAAAGGGTCCCCAGGGTGAAACCAAACCTCCGTTTCCAAAGTTTCTAGAAAGCAAGCGAGGTGCGACTGTGACGGGTTAATTGGTGGGAGTTAACTTTGCGTTTGCCTTTTGTTTTTTTTTTTTTAAACCCATCTTTAAATGTTGCTTACCAGATTCACCGGTGGGAGGCTGAGCTGGCCGCCAAGACGCCTGGAGGAGACGCAGAGGCGACCAGCATGTCTTTGCGTTTCCACCCGCTGCCCGCCCTGCCCCGCGCCCTCCGCCCCCGCTGCGGGGAGCTGCTGTGCCTGCTGGTGGTCGCGGTGACCGTGAGCCCGGGCGCCGCCGGGCTGTGCCCCGCCGCCTGCATCTGTGCCACCGACATCGTGAGCTGCACCAACAAGAACCTGTCCAAGGTGCCCGGGAGCCTGTTCCGATGGATTAAGAGGCTGGATCTGAGTTACAACAGGATCGGGCTTCTGGATCCGGAGTGGATGCCAGCGCCCTTTGGGAAGCTCAACACCCTCATCATTCGCCACAACAACATCACCAACATCTCTGCGGGCAGCTTTTCCACCACGCCGAATCTGAAGTGTCTTGACCTTTCCTCCAACAAGCTGAAGGCCGTGGAAAGCGCGGTGTTCCAGGAGCTGAAGGTCCTGGAAGTGCTCCTGCTTTACAACAATCACATTTCCTCTCTCGACCCGTCGGCGTTTGGAGGGCTCTTCCAGCTGCAGAAACTCTACTTAAGCGGAAACTTCCTCACGCGGTTTCCCATGGATTTGTACGTGGGCAGGTTCAGGCTGGCAGAACTGACGTTTCTGGATGTGTCCTACAACCGGATCCCCTTCCTGCCCACAAACCGTATAAGTTTAGTGCCAGAGAAGCAGCTGAGAGGCATCCACCTTCACGGAAACCCGTTCTTCTGCGACTGCTCCCTGCACTCGCTGCTGATGTTTTGGTACCGCAGGCACTTCAGCTCGGTGATGGATTTCAAGAATGGCTACACCTGTCGCCTGTGGTCCGACTCCAGGCACTCCCACCAGGTACTGCTGCTCCAGGATGGCCTTCTGAATTGCTCCGACAGCATCGTCAATGGCTCCTTCCGTGCCCTTGGCTTTATTTACGAAGCTCAGGTCGGGGAGAGGCTGGTGGTTCACTGTGACAGCAAGACTGCTGGTTCCAAGACGGATTTCAAGTGGGTGAGCCCGGACAACACGCTGCTGGAGCCGGACAAAGAGATGAAAAACTTTCGCGTGTTTCACAATGGAACCCTGGTGATCGAAAGCCCTCGTTTTGAGGATGCTGGGGTGTATTCTTGTATCGCAATGAACAGGCAACGCCTGTTGAACGAAACTGTGGATGTCACCATCAACGTGAGCAACCTCACCATCAACAGGTCCCACGCCCACGAGGCGTTCAACACAGCTTTCACCACGCTTGCGGCCTGCGTGGCCAGCATCGTTCTGGTCCTTTTGTACCTCTACCTGACGCCGTGTCCCTGCAGGTGCAGAGCCAAGAGACAGAAAAATGCACTAAACCAAAGCAATGCCCACTCCTCTGTTCTGGGTCCCGGCCTGGAGGGCGATGTCCCAGCGGACGGACGGAAGGCAGGTGCCGGGAAAAGAGTGGTGTTTTTGGAACCCCTGAAGGATACGGCCGCGGGGCAGAATGGGAAGGTCAGGTTCTTCCCCAGTGAAACTGTTATAGCTGAGGGCATCTTAAAGTCCTCCAGGGTGAAATCCGACTCAGATTCGGTCAATTCAGTGTTTTCAGACACACCCTTTGTGGCGTCCACTTAATTTTGTGTCTGTATTTTAGGATGTAGTGATTTAATCTGTCCATCTTTAACTTGGTGTGTGGCCTGCAAAGTCAACAGCAGGGTTGAAATTATTTTTGGTTTTTGAAATACAACCACATGGCCTTTTTAAGTGGTTGGTAGGAAACGTGGTAAACCACTTTTGGTTCCTCAGTGAGCCAGAGAAGACTGGGGTTGTTGCCAAGATTTATCATAGTTCTAGATAACAGTACCTTAATCTGAGTACCACGGATCCTGTCGAAGCTGACCGGGAGGTGATGTGACTGACATTGGCCTTTTAATCAGGATTCTTGAAAGAAAATAAAATAAACTATTAGTATACTTTTAAAAGAGCCTTTACTAATTTAGGACCCAAGTCGAGTAATTTCAAATAAAAGTGTTAGCGTCCCATTTCTTTTGGAAGAACCAAACAGCCATTAATTATACAGCACAAAAAGTTAGATTTGGGGATAATTCAGCTAACTTCATCATTTCAGACTAAAGTAAAAGGACTTCACTGATAAAGTTTACTGAGTACTATCACATCCCGTATAATGTTAGATAAATAGTGCAATAAAGGTACATTTGTCTTCTTTCCATTCTGCAAATTTCCTATCCTTATACAAAAGATCTTACTGAAAGTTTAAAGTCATTACTTGTTGCCATAAATATGTAGGTGTCAATACCGAAATGTCTGGATAACTTCTTAAACTTTTGTTCTAGTCAACCAATACTTGTTTATGTGCTTGTATGTAAATCTTAAATTATATGAACCACTCTATAGATCCTACTGTACTGTGCGTTGGACATTTGAATTAATGTATTATAAGTATATGTATTGAGTGACTTGATGTTCTGTTTTATTTAGCTATTTAAAAACATAAACCTAAGATGTTTTATGTGATCAAATTGTTCTACTTTGTGTAAAGCACACACTATAGAAAACGTCTCTCCAGAGGTCTTGGAATTACACTATTGAATTTTTTTTTTAAAGGGGGTGAAAAAAGACTCAATTTATACATTCTATATCACATTACTTTGATATTATTATGCACCTCAACCAGGTTTGGAAGACATGTGAGCTCTGATTTTGCAACATGTGAGAGCCCAGCAGACTTCCTTCTCTCCGTCATCTGCTGTGAGGTATAGAGTGCCCACTCTGCACCTCTGTTTCCTCAGCTGTAAGATGAGAGTTTCATGCGCGGTGATGTTTAGGTTCCTTCCACACTGGAAGTGATGATTTCCTGCTGGTCTTGGCTCCATTCCAGACTTGCACTGGTTCTCTGAAACTGTGCCACATACTGATAGAGAACAAAAATGAGATTAGGATAGACTAGCATATCACTGGAGAGCTCAAAGGACAGTTTGAATTGCTGCCTACCTCCTTCCCTTTCTCAGGGACAGATGAGGCCCAGAGAGGGTTGTGGGTTGCCTTAAGGCCACACAGGAATTAGGAGAGCTTGGGTGTAAGCTTCTTCCTGGTGAAGGTGAGAGAGTTAAAGAATGGCCATTGTTAACAGTGGGCATGGAGTAGGAGCCAAAGAATAAGACAGTTTTCAAAGATGGAGTTGGGCAGCAGTGACAAACACTGCAGAGAAGATGATGAGGAGGGAAGACTGACTTTGGCAATGGTGGTTTGGAGAGAATGGTGGGCACTTAGTGACAGCCCAGAGAAATGCTGAGCCAGGCTCCCAAGGGCAGGGATTGTTCAGCGGGGGGGGTGAAGGAGTAAATGGCTAGGGTATGTACCTTAGGGAACAGGGTGCAGAGCCCATTCCCTATTGCATGGTGTTAAAATAGTATTGCCTCTGCCTTTTCAACACAGATCTCACCCAGTAGGTAAGATCCTTCAGACCCAAAGATGTTAAAGGCCAACATTTTATTCCACATACTGCCATGGCAGTAATTAGGAAGAATTTTGTGCGTTTTTTAAGGATCTTTAAAATAATCACTCCTTTCAAAAAGAAGTTTTGAGCCGAACCAGTTTGGCTCAGTGGATAGAGCGTCAGCCTGCGGACTCAAGGGTCCCAGGTTCGATTCCAGTCAAGGACATGTACCTTGGTTGCAAGCACATCCCCGGTGGGAGGTGTGCAGGAGGCAGCTGATCGATGTTTCTCTCTCATCGATGTTTCTTAACTATCTCTCTCCCTTCCTCACTGTAAAAAATCAACAACAACAATTATATATATATATATATATATATATATATATATATATATATATGAAGTTTTTGAACTTACCCCAAAAAGTTTCCTAGAAGAACTCAGGCTCAGATATGCTGTGATTTGTTCAGCTTCACACAGCTGGACAGAACTCAAGTGAAAATTCTTGAATCACTGACACTGACCTGGGGAGTGCAAAGAGCAGGGCCCACCTGCTTGCAGGAAGGTTGCAGGGAGGGGCTCTGAATTAACCCTTTGCAGGATGGGATTTCTCAAGTCCTCCAGCCCTCCAGCCTTCTCTTAGGAAACACCTGTTGTGTTTTGCAGGGGAACATGGGCACTGGTGAGTGGGGGGCGGGGGGGGGGCGGGGAGGGAGTTGCAGGGCCTGGTCTTGGCCGGTCCTGTTTAAGCCTTGGGTAAAAGACAGGCTGAACTCAGATTACAAATAACATGCTTATAAGCAATACAAAAGAAAACCAAAAATCCTGAATACTGAAAAGAAAGCTGCATTTTTAATAAAAGTAGGAAGGCATGGTGATAGAAAAGCATAAAACTGAATGTTACGATGCAGAATTTCAAGTTCTTTAGGTGTAACTTTTTTGGCAGGAGCTTGATTACATGTATTTTAAATATAGGAACAGAACTAATTTGTGCTTTATACGTTTGTCCCACTGAAAACTTTTGTATAATTTTCATTTTAAATAATAATCTGGTTTATGTAACTGGGTTATTCTTTTAAGCTGCTTAGTGGGTTTTTTTTAATAGGATCTTTTTAAAATATGTTTTTATTGATTTTTTTATTGAAAGGGGAAGGGAGAAAGAGAAATAGAAACTTCGATGAGAGAGAAACATCAATTGGCTGCCTCCTATATGTCCCCCTACTGGGGATTGAGCCTGCAACCTCGGCCCTGACAGGGAATTGAACCTGTGACCTCTTGGTTAATAGCTTGATGCTCATCCACTGAGCAACACCAGCTGGGTGTAAACTGCTTAGTATTTTTTATTTTGCAGCTGTGAGAGGTGGATACTTTTTGGAGAAACTAAACAAAGATCATAGACAAGAATTTTTCCTAGATTTAGAGTACTTTTTCACATAACTAGAAGATACTAGTTTATGATAATATGCTCTTTAACTAATCATGAGTTAAATTTCTTAAATACACTTTTAAGATGTATAATCTGAAAGAATGGCCTAAAACATTTTCTTATTTATAGTTAACTGCTACATTAATCACTATTTAGCCTGGAGACATTTAAATGTGTTTATTTTTAACTTTAATTGCTTGAATTATTTGCCTGGGAGGGGGGAATGGCTTTTTATTTTTCTAAAATATTAATCAGAAGAGAAGTAGAAAGACATCTGACTTGGGTCATCTTGCTAAGCCCTGTTAAAACAGCATGAGCCCAGCCCTGGCTGGTGTAGCTCGGTTGGTTGGGTGTTGTCCCATGCATCAAGAGGTCACAGGTTCCATTCCATGCCAGGGTTTCTGCCTAGATCCCCAGTAGGGGCATGCAGGAGGCAGAAGAGAAGATTGATGTTTCTATCTCTTCCTCACTCACCCTTTCTCTCTAAGGTCAATAAAAACACATTTAAAAAAAATCAGGATACAGTCTAAACATTCTCCATCCTCGTGGCTTTTCCATTTCCATGACTGCTGCTGAATGACTGCCATCTTTTGGTGTCATCTGTTTACTAAATGACCTACAACCAGGCTTCTTGATAGAATCACGGGGGAAAGTTAGACCAGCCAGGGTTTCTGTTAGTTATCCTCTACACCTCCCCTAGTCAGAGATTTGGTTCAGGCAGTCTGGGGTGAGGCCTGCCCATAACGTTAAAAAAAAAAAAAATTTCATGCAATTTTGAGTCTATCTGTTTTGATGAAATACATCCTAAAATGAGACCATAAAAAATTTGAGCTGTGTCAAAATACATCATTATTACTGGCTAGTGGATTTATTAATAAAAAGTAGAATCCCAGTGCTCTCTAAAAAAAAAAAAATAATAAGTTGAGAAAACAAGTTTGATTGTCAGACACTAAATGAACTTGAGTAAATTGTTGGCTATAAGTTATGATTTATATTTTTCTAAATTATGAAACATAGAATAATTACTTTGAGATGATTAGATCTCGGGTTCTTTCATTCTTTAGACTATTTCTGGTTTGAAAGCAGCTCCAACAGCTTTGGAGCTTTCAAACTTGATTAGATCAAAGTGAGGGCATTTTCCAAGGATGTCTGAATATAGATCTCATTTACCAAGAACCAAGCTCCTTTGTTTTTAAGAAATATATGAAAAGAGCATTGTTTTAAAGAGAGTACTAAGATCTTTTTATAGTTCTCTCTTTTCTGCCTAAGGGCCAGCATCCATTAAAAAGATATTTTTTTAAATAATGTGAAAGCTAATATGGAAAGGTGATGACTAGTTTGTCATTGCAAGTATTATTGAGTGGTAATATATAAAAAGTAGAACTAAGGATTCTTATAATAACCTGAATAATTGAGAGGATTGCTCCCAGCACCACTGTTGCATGTGTGGAGATATACAGTGAAGAACATAATCGGTGGAGTATAGAAAAACAGACCCTTTGCAAATTATAAAATGTCATATATGACATTTATACTGGGATTTTAATTTATTAAGTACCTACTAAGGGGCAAACACACTGTGAGGTGGTATTTGTTTATTATTATTTCAGCAGCTCTGAAAGATAGGAAATATTATCCCCAGTTACTAATAGGAAAAAAGGCTCAACATGGATTAGTCATTTTCCCAGGTTACTCAGCTAATAAGTTGTTTTTATCCTGATGATCATTAAAAAAAACAATAACTCTCACCTGGCC